TATATATATATATATATATATATATATATATATGTGTGTGTGTGTGTGTGTGTGTGTGTGTACGGGATTTATTGTATCATTGTACACTTTCAGATACCGTATTATACGTGATTCCACTATTGATCGGTGTTCGTTGCACTCTATTATTGTTGGATGTTTCCGTTGATCGTTGAGTTCGCGATGAAGAAACGTACAAATCTCGGGCTCATGAAGTTGTTCGGTTCAATGATACACGTGTAAGACAGCTCCGAAAGGGCAGCCATCACAGCGTTAAACCGCAGTTGGATGGGTCACTTTATAGCCCAATGAAGGTAAGAAAAGCAGGGATTTGCGTGTAAGCAACATTGGGGGAGGGGCACAGAGCTTAAAACACGAAGAAAATCATCTAGCTCGAATAAAGGAGGTATGACGAAGATAGCCTGTCTCAAGTATATCAGGGGTCTGGCCACCATGTCGATGCCTACGGATTCGATTTCAAGAGAACGTGAATTTAATGCTACAATGTAACACAGCGATAGAATTCATAACTGAATATGGGGAGCAAGTCGAATCTTAACCTTAGTGACTGGGTTAAGCGTTTATAAGTGGTACGTGTCAGGAACAAATTAATACGACCACGGCTGTGGCAAGAGTAAATTGTACCTTCTTGTTCATTGCTTGCATCATTGTGAAGGATGGAACGGTTTAGTCTGAGGAAACGAAACCAGCACAAGAGCAGGAGCAGTAATGAATCCAGTCCACCCCACATCACAGTCTACTTCAACAGTTCCTTTCTCTTCCTTATTGGCTGACTAAACCCAGTGTCCCGATGGATGTTTCACCGTTAATCCGTATGGCATGTCAAAAACTTATTCTCTGCTTACAAACATACACGTACGCTGACTGGCACAGGACACACTTCTCGCTCCATCCCTCCTTTCCGACTGACAATTGGTCCCTTGAATTTGACCGGTTCACCATAACCAATGGCCTTCGCGAGATCTTCGTGAACACGCGTCTGTTTTTCCATGATCACAACATGAGTGCGATCTGCCATTTTCGCGATCGCCGGCTAATTTTCTGGTTGACTTCACAGTTCCCGGTGCCTTGCTTGACCGAATCAACCCACGGTCTGTGAATAATTGTTGTTAGGTGTCACGCATGCTTGCTAAATGTCAGCCCTTAGTACCGTAGTTCGTTTGAACCGATTAATTTGCTTTTGTGTCACTCTGTCGTGCATTGGTGAGACAATGGAATCATCAGAGTTGTTCTTTCAGAACTGTCGTGCTTGACTCCCACGGGGGATGATGATGATCTACTCAATGGACGAGGATGCACAACGTAAATTCCAGAACAACCGAACCGAACGAATCGAGTCCAGTTCAGAAACGGAATATCAAAGGAAACCATTATAATATCTGTATTTTACCTCTGATCATTCAGGTTCCCCCATATAGTATATATAGTATGAAATTTTCCGAATATGCACGATGTTGTCCACAGACCAGAAATTTATTCCATTTAAACAAACCAACCAGGTCAGTACGCGTTCCCAACACTCTTCTCCGGCTTCCCCCCCCCTCATTTTCATTCTTGTCAGAAGCTAGATTAATTTTTTGAAGAGCAGTGCTCTGATGATGTGAGTATCAAGTCACGTGCCAATGAGGATAGCAAAAGAACCAAATTCCAAGACGTCTATTTACTGCAAGCAAAATACCAGACGATAAAACAAACATGTGCATGTAAAAACCATCCAAATCACACGTGCCAACAACAAACTGGTAGTTTGTAGATTACAAATATACAGGCAGAGATACAACAATAGACGGCATTTGTAAAATATACCACAGATATGGTTTCGTGAAACCGATGCGATGCTTTTTTCTCTCTCTCTCTCTACTTCTTCGTGGTGTTGCTCGTGGGCGATGCTTGACGAGCGGCCAGTTGAGCTCGCAACACCGAATTACCAGCCAGGAATGTGGGAACGGCAAGAACAGTAAGATAGCCAAGAGTGGTGAACATATCCAAATAGCACCAATAAATGTAGTACAGAACCAGGATCGCTGAAAAGACAAAACGGAACGAAATGAACAAAGTTCACTCAACAGACGATGATCAGACTGATGCTTAGAAAGGATACTATTCAAAAAAAAAATAATTCGATAAAACTTTATGCAGGTACGAAAACCAACGATTAGTGAGCGATGTCATTCATTAACCACGACCAAAGGAGCGTCTTCACACCGCGGCATAGGTAGGCAGTGCTTCACTGAGCGAGGGGTCGCGGATAATCAGCAGCGATGCCAGTGGATGTGGCAAGTTCTCGCCTGGCAGCAGGATGCCTCTGCAATGAATAGTCATAAAGATCCATATAAAGCACTGTGACATGCACTAATTTGGCCTGCCACTAAACTAAAGCTAGCACTATTACCGTTCCCTTACGGGCAGTAAGTACTTGGCTGTGCAAGCGTTAGAGGCGCATCCTCGAAGAAAATGATTAAGTGATGGTATATTAGGAATTCCACTTTGGATTACGTTGCCGAGATTTTCCATAAGACTCCTTCATGAGATTGATCTATTAGCATGCCATTACCGGTAAGATGTCAATGACAGGGGGAAAATGACTGAACTATTCAACGATAGCACTTTCCCATATTCCCTGTTGTTATCTAGTCGGATTGAACTGGTGGTGGTGGTTGCGCAGTGACCTGATCGCTGTCGCCGGCGTGCGTTGGATCCTACAGTTCGGGCCCCGCCCCCACCACCCAACTTTGGCGGTAGGCAGCTTTGCTGTCGTTCGGTTCAATACTATACCTAACCTATCGGGGCCTTATGTGGTTCACCACTCCAAGTCCCGCGGGGTTTATGTTGCCCGTTGCCATCACTGAACAACAGGTCTTCGTGACTATGGGGTCCCACCCCGTGTGCTGTCTATCACACACCGGTATGTAATAAAAAAGACAGGAGGATCAAAGTTGAGACATCAATAGATCATCGCTCAAACTGAAAAAGAAAACGGGGTTATTCATTTCTCGTCGAATGCGGCTATTGTGCAAAAGGGTGCTTGTCGTTTGGCCAAAGTAATGGACTTACCAATGAAACCAGCATGGAAAACGATAGCAGACAAACTGAATCGGAAATTCCACAGATTGAATCCGATCATAGACCACTGAAACGGAACGGAAAAAGCATCCGTCACAAAATAGAAAAACGATTTGGTCGAGTTGGTATGGGGTTGTATTCACTATCTGGTATTTATCACTCACTGCTATGCTTTAGTGTTTTAATGCAGACAGATGGACAAGAGGTCTCCTACTGGTAGCGATAATATCGGGTACAGAAATCGAAAATATGTAAATGTTGTCTGAGTTTTGTGAATATTACTGTTTATCCAATAGCCTGAAAACAAGATAATATTTATGCCGTTAAAAGCTCTGCAGATTTTAAAACTATTCGGTAATTCTCTGAAGACGACACCTAAACAAACATGGATTGGTGATTCGGTTCAGCCCTTGCATGAGCTGGTTGGCCCAGTGGTAGCAGACACCTTTCATGGGATGGGTCTGAAGCTCAAATCCCGGGTGGGACGGTGGGTATGCACTACGGATGCAAGAGAAACTCGAGTCTAGTCCTTCCGAGTGTATGGTTGATTGGAAGAGCTGAGAAATGTGCGTGAAGTTGACGTCTGAAGGACAGTCAGTTCTAATCAATTAATCAACATCAATTATCTCACAGTACTACTCTTTTATCCAAATGGGCGGCCCAAAAAACAGAAACTAAAACCGGTGCACGAAAGTGCACGGTAAATGGGTTGTAAAAACTGAAACTGAAATTTCCAAGTAACCGAGTTAAATGCGATAAAAAAAGTTGACCAAGAGTCCCCACCCAATCTGCATCCGTGATTGAACGAAACGGTAATATGAACTTCATCTGTTTCTACTACTGTAATTCATTGGTTTTTCGATAACAACGTTCTAGTTGGCTAGAGTTTAAATAGGGTTTACCATATTGTGGAATTTTGCAATATTGGGAAAACAAATTAGTTAAACCTTGCAATACTAGTGATCTTAAAATTGCAATCAGTCTTCAGTGACAGGTGAAGATCTATCGCGACGAAGACACTCTACAACTGCTAAATGTTCGGTATCCCAACCGGTCACGTTATTCTAGTGAACAGGTCAGATGTGAGGAATTAATGCTATTAGGGCTAATTTGAGGACAAACGTTAGACAAGCGGAAATGAAAAATTGCACCGAGTGACGGTAAAGCCGTCGAATACCAAACAAGCTTACGGTAAGATTTTACGGGGCCAAAGTGAGTAATTGTAGCTCAAACCACATGACCGAGGCAACCAATGATACACAAACTGTTAGCTGATACCAGGAACACCCACATTCACAAACAGTGGGATGTTGTGTCAACATTAGTATTTAAAAAAGAACTGCTATTTTGTGTTGACTGATTTCCGAACACAAAAGTATTTCAGAGGAACATACGGAAATCAGGAGACCCAGAAGCGGGACAGCACATAGTACGGTGAAGGCCCACGCAAGAGGACGCGGAGCTCGTCGTTCTGGTGGACGAAAAACGTGCTCAATGCCTGGTTTCGCTTTGGTAGGTCCAGTTCCAATGAGTGGATTGCTGCCGGCACGTTTCATTCCAGCACTGGACGGGGACTTTTGTCGAGAAATATCGGCTGCGTCCGCGGCACGTCTCGCGCTGTCTAACCCACGGGGACCGGTAAAATGCAAGCTCACATCGGCCTGTGTTGAAAGAGGACAAAGCACAAGGATGGATTGGTAATTTTTACTCCAGGCTTAAAGAATATTTAATAACAATGATATGATGGAAAATCGAGAAAATAGCGCGTTGTAAATGGAACAACTCGTTGTGATTGTCAAATCAGGTGTAATAATATGAGTAAACCTTACAATAAAGAGGAATGACAAAGACTCCGTCCCCTCCTCGGATCTGCGTAATCTGCTTCCGCTATTCACAAAATTGTTAGATGAACAATGATTACCCTAAATAGATAGTTACGCTCCTATACGCCCAACCTCTTAATCATATGGCGGAACAAGATAAATTGCCCCAAAAAATTCCACAGGGACAAAATAGATCATCATCATCGCACGGCGAAATACGGTGAGGCGAACTTCACTGATCGCGGCCAAACTCGCAATACATACAAGGTTAGTGGTAAAATTGAAGATGGACAGGGATTGGACCTACTTTGAGGGCAGGGGATGAAAGTGAACCTCTATAGTCAACACAGAGCACGCAATCGAATTCTGCGTACATACCGTTTCAAGCATTCTGGCCTGATAAGAGATGACAACAAGAAGCCCACTGCTGTCGGGTCGCTGTTATATTCTTCAAGGTCTCCAACCAACCAGTTGCGGATGAAATAGATAAGTGATGTCAGATGTATCGTATACTGCGTTAACCTTGTAGGACAAACGGTTATACGGTATAGGCTGTTTACAATACACCCAAGATGTGTTCCATTATTACTTGCTCGGGTATACAAAAACAATAGAGGAGGATACACTTTGGTTCAAATGGGTTACTTTTTTGGTATTTTGTAGCTCGGTTAGCGCAACTTGCTCGTCAAATTTGCTAAGTAAATTGAAAACGTTTTGTTATTAACCGAGGTGACATTATCGCTGCGGTAGGTGAGAATGCTTTGTTAATTTTCACCTTGATTGATGATAAAAATGTTAACAGTATACTAAATGCCCATCTTAAAGAGCAAACGAAAAGCAACGAACTTTATAATTCAAGAAAATAAAACTGTACGTTTAGCTCTGGAATTGAAAACAACAACTCATACAAGGCTTCAATGGGAAATAAGTCTAAATACCTAGTCAAGGAAATTGTGAGTGAGTTGACACTCAATGTCTCAGAGCCTTTGTCGCCTGTCACTTGAATCATACAGTGACTAAGAGATTCCACTGTTTCCATCTGATTATACACGTCCTTGGCAAGTAGTAGGAAAGCACAAAATTTTACTACAAACAGGGGAGGGTTAGGCGTTGTGGTTCCTCTTCTCAACACAGATGAACTGACGGAGAGGGAAACTAACAGCATCAGTTCAGTTAGGAACTGAACAATGGGGGGGGGATACATTTTATACATATCAATATCATCGGGTTTGTTTAAGGTTCGGAAGTTCCGCATTGAAGAGTTAAAACAATACCAGAACCTTGCCTCTCCCTCATCAGCGTTCCTTGATTTCATGCATAAATTACAAATTTCTGCCCGGCAATATTGGCAGGCAAAAATTAATTGGCTTACCATATGCCACAGCAGTGGTTTCGAGAATAAACTGTCGCCGGCCAGTAATTCCATCTTGTAAATACCATCCATGTTGTCGAAATCAGCAGCGGAGCCTTCCGGATCCTGGAAAATTCATACAGAAAGAAGAGCATGCATGTACAAAAATGTAAGCACAGTTTATAGCAAACGAAAGAAGCAAGCGAAGGAGGGGGTAGTCCGAAATAGGTTGAAAGAGATGTTTTAGACAGAAAGCTGAAACTCTTTTGGAACGATAACACGATGCACAGCAACATCAACTGGATGAAGTTTGAGCCTATGACATGGGACAAAACTGGACTGAATATAAAAATTGCTAAATCCCGCATATCAAAAATTTGAGTGTTTTTTTAATATTTTTAGACCATGATTTGTTTGAGGCGCGACGTAGATTTAAGCAAAAGTAGTACATGATCGACTAGACCAAATTTCCCTGGAAGCACACGATCGATTTCGCGGTTATTGCCGCTCGTCAGGCATGCGTATCTGGTAATCTTTTCTTTTCATTCATATACTTGTACCCAGGAAGTGTGTTTCCGTCACAATAACCTTGTTTACAACACCGGGTGATTTTGGATAGGCAGTTCTTTCAGAGTCAGTCCATCGAAGAATCAATACTATGATTCGATGTTTTGTTTGTGCTGGGCCGAATTGGTTCGACATCCCAAAGAGGGTTTTGTATGCGGGATTCGGTCAGCGCTACTGGCACCACAAACTCGGATCGGGTTACCCGAAATCAACCTTCGGCCGTGTATTACGAATGGGTGGCAGCGGTGAGCTAATTCTTGCGTATCAAACAATAATTGAAACCGCCATATGAACGTGTCAAGTTAATGATTGTATAAACTGAACTGAAACTGCAGGACGTAGCTCAGACGCGAAAGAGGCATTAGGTTCACATATACCAGGTAAGCATTCACTATACGCACCGACCCTTCATCTGCGGTTCGTTCGCCAGTAAACGAGCAGTCGCTCCAATGGTAAAATTGGTTTGCATCAAGTGCATTGCACCATAGATGACCGAGAATTGATAGCACAGTAAGTGTGGCATAAATCCGCTCAAACCTCGCAAGAATGAGGCTAAGTAAAAATAAACTTGAAATACCGCATCGAAAATGACAGACAACTAACCAGCTTCAACTGATAGGCTTTGGCACTCGCGATCCCGACCGCAGCAACTTCATTACAAACAAAAGTGATGCTCTGATCAGTCTCTTGGTGTGTGAACTGCACAAACGCCTGATGGACAGTCAATGGTGTTTCCGCTGGATCATCATCGACGAAACGTAGAGAGAGCAACATACGTTGACCAATCTCAATGGGGATAGACCCGCTTGCACCAGACCCGGTGATTCGTGATCCTGGTTTGAGTCTAGAACAAAATTATGAACAGAACTTATTTCACTGTATGGGAAAAAAATGGACGATTAAACAAACTCACGACAAATGTTCATGTATATATCAACTGTTTTAGTGGAAATTCTGAAACTCCCGATCAAAAAAATCATTAGACAGCACGCACATAATGACCGAACGTAAGTCAAATAACTCATCTCATAGTATTTGTGAAACGAGCAGCATGTAGAGGATAAAGTATATTGTTATTCATCACAACAAAGTTGAAACGGTAAAAAATAGGTTGATAGAAAGAAATTATCTGCTTATTTGAGAACTTTAGGTTACCTTATCCCTTCCCCGGTAGAAATACCGAGTTTGTTCATTGGAGTTCGGTCATTTTTATACCTTAATAATTATTGTTTGCAGTGGGCACCTGATGGGATGTGGTAAAAAAAATATCCGGATATGTGTTGCTTGAGCTTATTTTACTTTCTTCTACAATCAAGTAGGTAGGTCAACCGTGAATGCGAAACGCTTGCAACAGTTTAAGCCACAGATAAATGGTAACTAGAACACAATGTAAGTCAATCTCCTCGCCCATCCTTCAGATTTACCAACCCACCAGTTGCGTGATCCTTCGGATCACGGTCTGCTTCGTGAAAGAAATTGTTTATTCGCCTTCTCGCTCTCTCTCTCCTTGTAGTTCTTTGTATCATGATTTCACATTATCCATTGACCTCCAAGTAGTGACCCACATCCTGGCGTAGCAAGATGCAGTACGACAAATAATTGCCGGAGATGGATGAAATGTATTCGGATTAGCACAAGTTGATCAAATTAATTTGTTGTGGAAACAGAAATTCAATCGGAATACTTGGATGGTTATAATCCGTTCACTTCATCCCATTTGTGATAAACAATAAAGGCACTACTAGTCGGATATCTCCAGTTAGCGAGCGTTTTTTCGAATGCAACCTCAGCTGTGAAACATGAATGGCCGCATCCCGGTACAATTAGGAAGACAGTTCCAATTTACTGAAGCATCACTTTGACGTCAGACGTGCCTTTGTTCAGTGTGTGACACTCTATCCTGTAATGTGCGACTGATTAACTATTTTATTGTATTATCGCTATTCATCAAACAACTGCCTAGGCTGAAACAATCTTTTTCCTCGATATGAACCTGAATAAAGAACACAGCGGCATAGTGTCGCAAAATTTAGTTCCGGAAAAATTTCGCCGTATCTCTTCAGGTAAATACTACAGTTGAAAAACTATAATTAAAACAAACACGTGACAGTTCCCGTGGATGAACAGTTGGTGTGACTAGAGTTACAAATAACTCCTCCTGCTTGCACAATTCAGGTATAAAACACGATCAAACACAGTCGTTTCAAAGTAAGCGTAGTCGACAGTTTGTAGCATTAGTTTGCATTTCAAATATGCGAGACGTATACGGAAAGAAATAACTTGTATGAGTCCGTTAAGTGTGCTCGAACATCCAAACGCAAGACAAGTCTCCTTGGAACCACGCGGAACGGAATACAGCAATCAGTAGCGGATGAACCCTGATCGTATCGTGTCAGTTAAATTATTCCACTACGGAACTCCGCCACGTGATCGATTCGCTGCTTCTTAGAGGGGATTAATCATCCCACCATAGCACTTGTATCGTTAACGGGGTTCCGTAGGATATTTGACATAGATAACACTGGAAATGGTTATGAATTATTTCACTTAGAATATACATCAACTCTCCTTTGTAGTCCAGTTTATTTATTACCACTATTCCACAACCCTCATTGGGGAGTGTCACTACAATAGATAGATTCCCGTCGATGTGTCCATCGATCAGTAAATACCTATGTTGCATGCTTGCTAATCGGCGCCAGTATTGTTCGTCCATCCTGACTGCTCCTTGGAACAGCGGCTAATTATAGCCATCAGTTTTCGCTATACTGTTTAGGATTTGGAAATAGTTGTTATCATAAATGTCATTTACTTCTACTTTAATTCTAACTGATGCAATCTGTAGAGTCCGGTCTATCGAACTTATTAAACCTTGAAAAATCCTGTCTCGGGTGCGATTTAACCCAATACTCAAACGTGCAGCCTGTTGTCAATTGTATCTATTTATCATGTTGCAGTTTTTTTTCGGTGTATGAACCTGACTTTGGAACACCACGAAAAACTACCTCACTTGGTATAAGAATTCGATCAAACCTTACGGCAATGAAAAGATATTCATTATTTAGTGCATCTTGTGACCAATAAAAATCCATATACAAAGTTCACTCCAAAGGGAACAAATGCTGCGCTACGATTTTAGTTTAAATTTTATGAATATGCTTCTCGATACGCAAGTTACGGTAATTTAGAGTGAAGCAGAGCGCTTTTATTGTCAGACTTTACTGTTCGCCTGTGATTTTCTGTGGCTCAATTAAAATGGATTTTTCTACTCTTTGCCGCGGTTTGACAATTATTAGCCGTCTTACTCCTATTCTCATAAACACTCTAATAACAAAATTTTGATTTCCATACTACTTCGGATGAGAATTTTATCCATCAGGTTCTAAACGACCCGCTGGATCTCTACCTATCTGTCTGTTTTCCCGAGCTACGATAAGATCGAATTTTCGCTGCTTATACTCCCGCAAAAACATTCATCGCAGTATTCTATTTGGCTCGCATTCTATCAACGAGGTTCTACAGGAACCGATGGTATCCCAACAAAGATCTTTTGTTCAGGTTTTATCATTGTTGTATATGATGTTTTCATCATTTCTATCCTAATGTAAGCGCAAACACAGTTTCTGACTGAAATGCAGGCATAATTGCTTTCACTCGTAGTTCACCTAGGGGAGTTGGCCAAAAACCCTGATTACAAACCAACCAAGAGGAGACGCACGACCCACACACCTTCCCGGTTGTGGCAGTGGTATTGATGTGTATTGGGCACCTTGGACGTTTGACCCCGTCCAAAGGGTGTATGATCCAACGAACTGGACATCGGCTCCTAGTGGATTGCGGTTTTCACGCACCACCCCGCTGCCTTGCGAGTCAGGCTTTGGCAATCCGAAGGCTCCGGTTGTGGATTCCTCAATAAAATTCACCTGCCTTGGCCTGGGCAACCTGGCAGTATTCAGCCCATATGCAAATCATGGAACATTTTTCTTTTTCTGAAGATTATTGGATCATGATTTGTTTGGCACACAGTCTGGCGTCAGGCGTGTGAAAGATACACCGGTCATTACACAGATATGTGCTTAGATTCATACCACAGTAAAAACTGTGCAAAATGCTTGCTGACATTCAAAAGGTTACCAGAATTTAATCCTTGATATCTATCATTAGCTGTGCATCTTCATGTGAGTCGACTATTCCACCGTTCAAACTCAGGCTAACATTACATTTTGTTACTAAAACCAGTAACATTACAGTTTACAATAATGTTTCAACTCAATTTCGCCTGTTTGCCGAGCTTGGCTATTTGTTTGCAAACGTTCCATCACCAGCCGAGGTGACATCATCAGTGCTTATGAAGTGGCAACTTGATCAAAAGAACTCTGACTCAAAGAACGAAGGAGACAACAGACGGAGACTCGAGAACAAGAACGACCCTGCCGTACATCAAGGACATTTAGGAAATGACAGCAAGACTGCTCAGATCCTATGGAATTCAAGTCGCCCACAAACCGATCGCCTGTCTAAGGAGACTTCTGTCAAATCCCAAGGAGGGAACAATGGAGAAGGACAAGAGCAGCGTCATCTACAAAATAAACTGCAAGAACTGTTCAAAACACTATATCGGACAAACTGGGGGAAAACTGTCAACAAGGATCCATGAACATCAATTGGGAGTTAGGAGACATCACCCACTATCGTTGATCTCCCTTCACGGAGATCAAGAAGGACATCAATTTGACTTCGAACCAGTGAGAATTATCGACTAAGCCCGGTCAAAACACGCCAGAGAATTTCTCGAGGCCTGGCACTCTTCAATTAACTCAATAAACTGGCACATCGAACTGAATCAGGTGTACAGGCTAATGCAATTCAAGGATCGAATGCCGCAACAAAACAGGTCACCCCGTGGCCCGAGAACGGACGGAAACTGCAATGGGGACGAAAGGACAACCTCCTCCTCTCCCACCCTCAACCCCTCGCACCAGTTCAACGGTGAACCGAGTCGAAGACAATGAGAACAGGGGACGAAAAAAGTCGGTGGAGAACACATATATAAACGAACGGGTACAAGCAGAACGCTGCCACTTCACAAACACTGATGATGTCACCTCGGCTGGTGATGAAAGTTTGCAAACAAATTGCCAAGCTCGGCAAACAGGCGAAATGGAATTCAGTTCGCCCGAGCTAAGACAACCGACTTTCAATATTTTGTCAAATGTTTCAACTTTTACATCACACCTGACTGCCCGACAATTTGCTTCTACTCCATTGCGGTTAGCTGTGGGACGACGATAAACCAGCTCCATAACGGTCATGGAGAGACATCCTCAGCATTATCTGGCTTTCTGTTAGAAGTTCGATCTCTGACCTTTGCACAACCAAGTAAAGACTGTGAAACGGCAGTGTTAGTGTATGGTTGCCAGTGACCCCCTGGGAGCTCATCCACCATTGGACTAGTGTGGGTTCAGCCTGGGGATTCATGCATCCGTGAGTTGGAAAGATGTCCTTGATAGCAGTTGAATCAGATGGTGGGTTTTGTCTACCCGTTCCGGAACAGTTGCTTTTGCATGCCATACGCCACCTCACCGAGGTTTCTAGACCTCAGTTTGGGCGGCCTATAGAGCGGTTCTCCGGGAATGGGGGGCTGGTGACGTTGCATACATCAGTTTTTGTAGCCATGGGTGAGAATGGATTTCATAATGGAGAGAATGGGTTGAATGTGCTCCCGCAACCCATCAAATTGGGCAAAACCGAACTAAAAATGATTTTGATTATAGTAAGTAGATACCGAAGTGGAACTGATTTGAAAGGAACTTCTTGAAAACGTTAAAGTAACCGTGAAGTGATGACAAAATAAAGCTACAAATTGGCCTGCTCATTAATTAGCGACAACAAATCCACGAACAACTAATCAACCAAACTCACTTGATCTCAGTCTGATATTTGTCATGGGCACCATCACCAACTTTCATTATGGAATCCACTATCTTTGGGTTGGCCAAAACGCGAAGAGGGAGCTGGAAGGGATCAGAGCAATTCACTCATATGTTTTTCAATGTCTAATCCAGTGACAATGTGGCGACAGCAATTGCACCGAGGCATACCTGAACGTTGGACAGACCGAGAATTCGTTGTTTCGAACTTTCCCCTTTCCACCGAGCAGATAATTCCAATTCATACCAGTTACGCGTGGGCAGAGAACCGTTAGCTGACGCCAGCGATAGTTCAAAATAAGACCTATGGAAAGGATGAAAGAAATATTTTTTTTCAAAAGTCCTGGAAAATTGGAACAGACTGTGATAGACTAGGTAGCAGATAGTAGCAAAACTATATCACAGAAGTTATTACAATACAATACAATAATAGTCCACCATCTAAGCGGGAAGGTAACACAATTGGGTGAAATTCTCGCATTTGTGGAGATGAGATTAAGAGAAAAAACATATAATAACATTAAACATGCAATTTGCATTCAAGTATACATTTTGGGGCAAAAAACGACTCATCGTGCCTAAGGATATGAGTTAACGAAGGGGCATCAATGAGATAGGTAATGGATGCCAGGTAAGAAGAAATACACTGCATGCGAACCCTCAGCAAAAATTAGATTGACGTTAAATCCAATTCGAAAACTTTCAGCTCAGTTCAGTTTGTACAACCATTAACCATGCACCTCCGTGCGCCGGTTTTGGTTGCTGTCTTTTGGCTGCCCATTTGGATGAAGAATAGGAGAAGACAGGAAAGTTGAAAGTAGAGTCAACAAAAAATGGAGAATTTCAGTGGTCCAGGGTTGCAAAGAAATTGAGAAGATGCAGGAACGTCACTATTTACGACACCCAGCCATATCACTCAGTCTCTAACCATCGGATACGATCATCCTGAGGTCCCCAGCCAGGTAGCCTAACGGGACCTATGTGACCCAGACTCCTAGTTAGGGTTTTCATACCCTCGTGCCAGGTCTTGGCTTGACAACTCTTGACTTTCTTCCACACACTACCGGACTCGGCGAACACCGCTCGCCATGGCAATCTACCTGGTGACATGCGTAACACAAGCCTAAACCAACGTGACCTATGGAGGTCGACCACGTGCTCCAGTGGGTGACCGCATTTACCTAAAACTCTGCCCCTAACCTCAGCACTGCTCGTCCGGCTACCCCACCAGATTCGAAAACTTTAGTTACACTGCATACATGTACGTGCATATCAATAGTATAGCTTTTGAAACCACAATTGATTGATGGAGCGAGCTGCACTAGGAACCGGTATCACTGGATAATATATATGTACTAGCAAGACAAATTATGGTCCGCTATTGGTGAACCATGGTTTGTTGTCAACAAGTATGAATGGAAGTTGGATGGAGTTATGATCAAAATTGGGCCCTTATTCGGGTTAGTAAGGACGTACTTGCCATCCGGAGAGCTGAATGAGCCACGCTCTGCTGGTCCGGTCAACACGCGTATTTTATTCGGACCTTGAATCGCGTACAAACCAGCAGCCTTTAGCGTAATCTTCGTCGGGTTCAGACTATCACCCCCAAGAGTGAAAAGACGTAATCGTAACTTCGGAGAGGCATGGTGCACTTCTGCACCAGCTGCAAACTGTTCCTTGGAATCATCCAGTGGTTGTGCACCAAGTGTGATCGAAACGGGAGTCTGCGATATAATACAAATAAGAAGAGCCGTCACAGTATTTGCGAATCGATTGGCAAGCAACGAAGCACGAAAACATACAGCAATCAACGATGACTTACAACAACTGCATTATGCGAAAAAGCTTTCAGTGCTGCAGCCAGATGAGCGGCCGCACGGAGATTCGTCGAATGGCGACGAGTGTACAGGAAGTTGATCAGTTTCACCAATTTCGGCTGGAAAACGTAAGAGAAGAGTTAATAATGAAAAATGTTACTAGCATGCCTAAAATAGAAGACTAGATTATCAACATAGATGAAAATAACCAAATAACTAACTTTACAAAAGAAAAGACCAAATTGCAATACTGCACGATATATGTTCAGGACGATTTCGCTGCATCTCAACATGGTGCATACTGCAGAAAAAACGTTATATAGGAATTTAGCAGGCAACGAAGAAGATGGAAGCCCCCCCCCTTGCGTCAACAAAAAGAACTTTATGTTAGTTTATCCTTATCTTGGTGACAATCTTTTTAATCCGTCCCCCTTTTATGTTTGTCTGTTTCATTGTATTTTACTCTTCTTTGTTGTCATGCTAAATTCCTATATAACATGTTTTTTCTGCAGTATGCACCATGTTGAGATGCAGCGAAATCGTCCTGGACATCTATCGTGCAGTATTGCAATTTGGTCTTTTGAAATTGATCTCGGGAAAGGCTTGCTCCAGTTTTCTCATAACTAACTTTTGCCTGAACGAAAACTGACAACTGTTTGGTTACGACATGCACCCACGGAAGAAAACCAATAGCAATTAAAACAGTGAACTATGAAATCCGTGAATAACTTAACTGGTTTAAGCAAACCCGATGGAGCGCGACCGCTTGATGGTAACCGGTATATATATATATATATATATATATATATATCATAATAAATGGTATATGACTGACTAGACAAAACTTCCCCAGAAGTACAAGACCGGTTTTGCCGCTGTTGCCTCTCGTCAGGTATGCGTATCCGGTAATCTTTTAGCAGTTGTCTATCCAAAAATTACCCGGTGTTGCAAACAAGGTTGTGAGGAAAATATACTTCCTGGGTATATTATATTTTTCACACACGCCTGACGCCAGACTGTGTGCCAAACAAATCATGATCCAATAATCTTCAGAAAAAGAAAAAATGTTCCATGATTTGCATATGGGCTGAATACTGCCAGGTTGCCCAGGCCAAGGCAGGTGAATTTTATTGAGGAATCCACAACCGGAGCCTTCGGATTGCCAAAGCCTGACTCGCAAGGCAGCGGGGTGGTGCGTGAAAACCGCAATCCACTAGGAGCCGATGTCCAGTTCGTTGGATCATACACCCTTTGGACGGGGTCAAACGTCCAAGGTGCCCAATACACATCAATACCCAATCGAGCCGGTGACCACTGCCACAACCGGAGAGGTGTTGGTGTGGTTCGCACAGTTCAGTTCTTATAACCATTGACCATGCACTTTCGTGCGCCGGTTTTAGTTGCTGTCTTTTGGCTGCCCATTTGGATAAAAGAGCAGAATGAAGATTGGAATGCTGAGAGCAGAGTCAAAGGAAAGTTATGGAATTCATATAGACTAGGGTTGCAAGAATACTGATTAGGTGCATTAGCGTCACTGTTTGCGACACTTAGCCATATCACTTAGTGTCTTTAACCACAGGTGACCATCACCTCGGGAACCCCAACCAGGGAGCCTAACGGGACCTATGATTGAGTCTCCTGGTTAGGTTTTCATACCCTCATGCCAGATCCAAGTTTGACTGCCCTGGACCATTTTCCATCCACTGTCTGCCTCGGTAAACATCGCTTGCCGTGGCAATCTATTTGGTGCCATGCGCAGCGAACGACCCAACCAGCGTGATCTATTGAGGCCGACCACTTGCTCCAGTGGGTGAAAGTGGCTACCTAAAACTCTGCGTCTAACCTCAGTAGTGCTGATCAGGTTTCCTCACTAGACTCAAGTAATGCGGCGTGAACAGCGGTGTTCGAATACCGACAATCTATTTTTATCCTGTTCCCATGATAACCAAGTCTTTGCACCGTAGATCAGAACTGGCCGGACCGCTGTAGTATATACTTGATCCTTTAACAAACAGCCGAATATCACGACGCTACAGATATATCAAGTTAGCAAAAGCCAAACGAGCCTTCTGTATGCGTGCTGACACTTCACCTGTGACGCGTCCGTCAGGTGAGAGATATAGCTGCCTAAATAGCAAAATGTGTGTACCTCCTCTATTATTTCCTCAGTCATGGTGAGTTTGGGTGTTGGACCAACCCAATCTTGTAGAAACATTTTAAACTTTGAAATGCAAAACGCATACGGAACAGGACTACGCTGGTACTCAAGCTATCCAGAAAAGCTTGCAGTTTACCAATATCTTTATTTAGCAGCACAATGTCGTCTGCATACCCCAGATGAGACAATCCGTCACCTGCGAGTAATTCATTCCCGCTGTCCTCTCCAAAACCAAGGCTGAGTATCCATCCTTAAAAACCGACTGGGACAGCCCGTCCGGGACGGAAGCCTTATGCCTTTTGAGATAATCTATTTCTCGGGTAACCTCAACTTCAGATGGAGGACTGATGTCAACTGGCAGTATTTGCACAGCTGAACCCGGTATAGGGAGGTCTTGTGCCGACGAGGGCCAGCTGAACTGTGCCTTAAAATGCTCTGCCCATCGATCTAGACGGCGCTGCTGAGTATGAATCATTTTGCATTCAGACACCTTAGTTACCTCACTCACGCCTACTTTCCTTGAACCCGTATTCCTAATTAACCAAAAAGATTGCGACTACTATCGATCGTCGCTGTGTAGTATTTTGCACAAGAAGAAATGGTTTTCAGAGCATTCAGCAGGTCAACCGATGTCGGGGACATCCATCGCTTTGGCTTTGATCGTGCGCTGAAATCTGCCGTTGTTTTGATTAGTATTAGGATCGCTTCCTTGATTACCGTCCCGTGTTCACTGAGTCCTTCGGCTGATGGCTGAGCTGAAAGGTGATCAGACAATTTCGCTTCGACGGCCGATTTGCAACTATTGCTAACACTGTACTATGGGCATCCGATTTCGGTGGGTTTTTCTGCGGTTGTTAACTAGGCGTAGGGAGAATCTGGCTCGCAGTACGCATGGTCTGTGTCCACGGTTGTTGATCACTAGGAGCCGCAGTCTTCAATGGATCCGCGCCAGCGGTGGCTGACGGCGATGTGGTCGATTTGAGTCGAGGTTGGTGGCCTCCATGTAAGGCGGAGTAGATTTTTGAGCGAGAAGTTGGCGCTTGACAATGGCAGTCTGTGATCAGCGCAAAATTGGAGTAGACGTACTCCG